TGTGGCCTGTTATAAACTGGTTAGGGGGGATCAGCAGGCGCTGGGGGAGTCCCTGTTCCCCCGAGCGCCGCAAGGAGTGACCAGGAACAACGGTCACAAGCTGGCGGAGGGAAGGTTTAAGTTGGACATCAGGAGGCGCTACTTCATGGTCAGGGCGGCTAGGGTCTGGAACCAGCTTCCAAGTGAGGTGATGCAGGCTCCCACCCTGGGGGTCTTTAAGAGGAGGTTAGATGAACACCTTGCTGAGGTCGTTTGACCCCAGTACTCTTTCCTGCCATAGCAGGAGGTCGGACTAGATGATCTGCTCAGGTCCCTTCCGACCCTAGAAACTATGAAACTATGAAACTATTAAGCTACTTTGCAGTACATGTCACTAAAAACTTGTCCACCGGCACCACTGCACCGTAGCACAAGTTACTGAGCATTGATCTAGTACTGGGTTATCCAAATACTAACTGCACAGTAACTGCAGCACATTAATGAATGTGTAGACATGCCCAGTGAAATGTCCTGGTACTACAGGAAGATGGTAGAAGAGGATGGGAAAGAGATGGCACATGTCAAGTGGAAGAGAAGGGACTGGCATCGGCTTTTCAGAGGCAAGCCCTCCAAAGACAGCCACAAAGAGGATGATGATGATGATGATGACAAACATGACGACGAGTGAAAGGAAATAACAAAGACCATGATGAATGAAAGGACTGGGCAAACAGGTGCGGGAGTTGGAAAGGAGGGGGGACGGGGAGGGGAGTGAGGTAGTCCTTTGCATAATTGTGATGGTTTCAAGCTGACAGTGATGAGTGCGCAGGTGTGATCTTTGTAATGGGACTAAGAACGATGTAACTGTACAAGTGTTTTTGGACTGTCAAGTGAACCATAGCGGTCACAAGACAGGCTGTTAGAGGTGCAGTTTTATATATGTAGATAGATAGATAGATAGATAGACATAAATATTTTTTGCCAGAAAAAAGGAGACAAAAACCCAGAAAGAATCTCATCGGAGACTGATATTTTTCACCCTAGAAGTGAATGAGAGAGTCCATCTCTTTCTGAGGGAATTGGCT